AATGTATTTCGTTCTACTTTCAGCGGGACAAGTTACTAGATAGCATTCTGCTCCCCAACACTTAAATCCACCAAAGTGATGCATTGTGGGTTGTATGCTGCTAGCCTACGGAGAGTGTCACCTTGTGGCCAGCACTTAAATAGGTAGGCGGTATGGTATCTAAACAAAACAGCATTTCAAGAACACAAACCGTAAACTCACCACTTTGCCCGTCTTGGTGAGAGCAGCCCGGAGCATTTTCCACAGCGTAGACTTCCCCGCTCCGCTGGGTCCTACGATGACCACACCCATTCGTTGCCGTAACTGTTCATTCAATTCCAGGGCCTTCTTCAGCTGCAATAAATACAGTGGAATAACCTGAGGTTAAGAAGTTGTCTGCACTCCACTTTACGCAACGTCAGAATCTGGTTCACTGACCTGACTGGGTATGAGCTCGAGTCGAGCCTCTTTGTAAACCTGCTCCAGTGCATGGGTGAGAATCTGATCCTCCACCTCCATGAAGTTAACGCCAGAGAAAACATCTTTGACCAGGGAGTCAAATCGAGAGCAATCAGCAAATGTCAGCTTCGACATGGTGTTCAGTCTCAGTGCCTGCACAACCAGACCGCTCTCCTGGACTGAAGGAAGACAAATTCATATAGAGAAAAAGATGTGTTAGTTACCATATAGAATCAAATGAATTTGTTTGGTTATCTTATGGATAATATATATAATCATATCGCAGTGATCAAATGGTGGCCCGCAGACCGTATCCGGTCAACCGAAGTGTCCAATTTGGCCCGCGATTGGATTCCAAAATAAACATCAAATAACAACGTTAGGGAAAAATTATGAGTGTTTTTTTTTTTTCTTTTCCTTTCAAACATTTTAAACTGATTAATCATAATGTAGCTGTGGATGAAGCAAAGTTAATAATGACTGATTATCAATCAAAACCATTCTAAAAATGACAAAAAATAATTCTGTCAGTTTATTGCTGGAACAGGAATAAAAATAACAGCAGGTAGATGTATATGTTTCACACCTGTAATTCTTGTGACTAATCCAAATTTAGGCATTAACAATGTGGACAAATGCCAAGATTTGTTTTATTTAAGCACAGTAATTGTTGTGAAACCTCACCGAAGGCGCTGATTGTTGCCTTCAGCACTTCTATGATTTTAAAACCAGAGCAAGCATCACATTTTAACCAAGCTTGAAAAAGTAACTTGTTGAAACTAGGGAGGCTCACAGTAGGTTCTACTGTATTTCCATCTGAAACTTATTTCAAAGAAGCTCAATTTCAGTGCTAAGAATAAGTGAGTGATTCTCTGGTATTTGAACACTGGCAGGTTTCACTTCTTTAATATCTACTCTCATGTAATCCCAACTGTGCATCTACCTTTGATATGAAAACAAAACTTGAATGTAGTTTATGTCGCATCCTCAAAATCAATAAAAAAATACAAACCCCAAAGCGTCCGTATCGTATCAATAATGTTTCTTTTGCTAAACCAAACTCTGGGCCGTCACAGAGTGAGTTTTAGATTAAAACCACTGCTGCCTGTAAAATGGCCAATTACTCCTTTTCTGCTTAATTGTGCTACCTAATGGACTTCAACTGTATTGCTGTAATTTTTTTTTTCTCATCTCATTGCGAAGCACAAGTTGATCTTTTATTATCCAGTTAGAAAATCAAATCCATCTCTAGTAGCTTTTCATTATCTGATGCACAAATTGGGCCCAGAGGACAATTTATTACTTTGAGCAATTTCTGCAGAATATTCTGTGTAAATAATTGCTCCGCTACACAACTATAATTGAGTTTTACTGATCCCTAAAAACATCACTTTCCTCCAAGACTGTAGGTTTTTCTTGGTTATTTCCAAACAGAATCCCTATAATGCATTTTAAACACCACCTCCAGAGTGAAGAAAGGTGCTGCCATTTTTTTATACCAGGTGTCTTTTTGCATTTCTCCTTTGAGTTTTATAGCAGTATTTGCGCTGACAACCTCCTCCCATTCCCCATCTTAAAATTGTCTATTTCTAACTTGTGACTCTGAGGGCATGACCAAATTCACCTCTCTCACTCCACTGTTCGGAAAAGTAAGAATGCCTCACGAGAACATTGCTCCTGAAATTGAATAAAGAGCCAGTGGGGGATCTTACTCTGGTCCTTGTTGTGACTTTTTCTCTGCTGCTGATGCAGGAGACTTCCACAGGCCTTCAGTACCGTCTTCAGAGCACGCAGACCCCAGTCGTAGTGTTGCTGGGGAGTTAACAGCTCCCTGGGGAGACAGATAAAAGCATAATGTCACACTCTGAAGCTGCTGTGGCGTAGCTGCAGATATAGGCGTAGAAATACTGGGGGGGAAAAAAAGCACCGAGTGACTCAACAGAGACCCAAATAAATGCATTTACATAAAACGTAATAATGTTGTTCAACCCTCAATAAACTTAACTGTACCTGGCAAGGTTGAAGATCGCCACTAACTTCTGTCCCAGTATCGCACCACTTTTGAAGCCCTCAGAGTAGAGGATAACCTCAGCGATGAGCTCGTTATCTGGTCTACTCATGGCCACGGGTCTGAACAGCTGCTTTAAGTTGTCCGGAAGCTTCTGTCGACCTCCGTACCCTTTTCCTGCAGGGTTCAGTGTGATGAAGACCCCAGAGTTTGGATCCAAGTCGACCTGATTCAGGAGCAGAAGGAGGAGAATGTGCTTGCGGGACGTGACAGTAGAATTTGCAATGCTGCAACTTTTTTTTTGCTTCCTGCAGGGGCGGCGCCCCACACTTTGGGAACCACTGAGCAATTCACGCAAGTACCAAATTAAGAGCAGCGCTCGAGAGGAAGTCAGTGTTCATGAGTGTTCTCTCACCTCCTTCCCCAGCAGTTCACATGTGTTTTTGTGGTGCTTGAGAGAGTCTTGGATGGCCTGGATTTGCATGGAAACTGCAGACAGAACTGCCTCCTCCAAACGGTTAAACTCATCGAAGCAGCCCCATGCGCCACACTTCACTAAACCCACAAAGATTCTGCCCATTGACTTCACATCAATACCCTGGAAAACAGACACAAACAAGAAAGTGATTTTTTTTTTTTTTTTTTTTTTGGTCTCCCCGTGGACATGTCTCCTGTCAAAGTGGATGTCAATGCAGTTTGATTAGAAATGAAAAAGGCCTCGAGGCTCTTTCTGCCTCTTCACGTGCTACCACAAATATCTTCACTGAAATGTGTATAGCACCTTCAAGTAGCATACATTTCAGTGCTGTGCAGTGCATTTGTCTTCATCCACAAATTGATTCAGTCGTTTCTCCAGAAAATATGGCAAACGTTTTTGTTTTTGTTTTTTGCATCGTAGAAAAACCTTGCAATCAATATTCAAGACAGCATTGACAGGCTTGAATAGATTGGTTCATAGATTTATTGGTAATCCTGTGGGACGTCTTTCTACTGTCTTGGAAAACATCTGAAAGTATTTTTTTCTATCCACTCTAATTGCAGTTGATGATCTGTTTTTCTAGCTAAGATTGTTTTTAACAATTGCAGCAAGGCTGGACTGATAGTTGGGCTGAGAGATTTTTTGCCAAGTACCTTTACACTCCTGGCTGGAATTCAGCCCGAAACTATTACAGAATCTCTCTATATGTGTAACAGACCCTGCTGTAACACCTTCATTAACAGTTATAACCATTTCATCCCATGACATTTACTTACTGGTCGTCAGTCCAGCCCTTGTGTAACTTTGCATATTTTAATATTTTATCTCTTTAACTTTCTTCATAAAAATATTCTTTCTAAAACCTTTGGCCTTTGTTTGATATAATAAGTCCTCTGGGATCCAACTACTGAGCAATTTCTATAAATGTATTACTCTTTACATATTTTTTTTATATATTTTTTTTAACTTTTGATCCATATACTATTTCTAAATTAGCAGTTTATTTCTGTCTAAACGACTAGTTAGGAACATTTTGCTTTTCTTTTTCACATTTTCTAAAAACTAATTAGGCAGCGCATGCAGTCACAACATAGTAAAAATATATAACTTAACGTAATATTGCATTTCAGTGTAATTAAAAAAATAAAACTTATTTGAAAAGAAGGTAAACTACCTAGGAGAAAACCATACTATTTTTTTAAGAAAAGAAGAATAAAATTGTTCTAGGAGAAAACCAAACTAATTTTTTAAGAAAAGAAGAATAAAATTGTTATATTTACAAAGAAAACTGATGGTGCAAGGACTAAAAAAAAATTATCTGTGATGATGATGATGATGTGTGAATTCTGAGTCCATCTGTTGTATTGTATTAAGCACATCTCTGTACCTCATCACAGTTAAACACCAGCACTTGACGTCCAAACAGTCCTCCGAGAGCTTTGACAGACTCGGTTTTTCCTGTGCCAGCAGGTCCGTAGGGGTTTCCCCCCAGGCCCATCTTCATGGCCTGGGTCAGGGTCAAGTAGCACTTATCAGTCAGTGGAGTGTGCACCAGCTTAGCTGCATTCCCCTGGGATGAAAGATAGAGTAAGTGAGGAATAATCAGAGGGAAAAAGTGTGAAAAAAGGCACCATGATGGCCAGAGAGAAGATGGAAGAAAAGAGGGAGACGGTGCAAGGGGGGAGGATATGAGAAAGAGGGAGGGGAGAAATCAGGGGAGGATAAAGGATAAAGTTAAATGATTGATTACAAAATGTGAAACAGCAAACAAATGAAGGACAAGAGTTAAAAAAAAAAAAAAAAGGAATAAAATGTGAATGCGACTGAGGTGACTCTGGAATGTGTTGTTTTTCAGCTTGAGGTGAAACGCAGCAGGAGCTTCAGCTCCTCATCTATGTGGACACAGCGCCCCCAGCAGGTGTAACGCAAAAAGGTGGACGTAATGCCATTAAAAGACGAAACTTTTGATCTAAAATGAAGTAAAAATATACATTCAAGGTGTTATGAGTATGACGTGCAACAAAATAAGAGTTAGTCAAGCGCCAAAGTCATATTTATAACACCTTGGGCTTTTTT